CCCCCCCCCAAGAGGGGCTTGGGGTGTTGCAAAAAATGCCTTCTGTGCTGTGGGGGGGGAAGGAAGGTTTGGCACGATGTGCGAGGGCCAAACTTGGGGGTCTTCGCTTCAGGCAGAGAGGCACTCGGTAGAAGTAGGGGCTAAGGCGGGTATCCCCAAACTTGGCCCCTTTAAGACGTGTGGACTTCAACTCCCAGAATTCCCCAGCACCAGCAGAGCTTACTCTCTTGCAATCCCTTCCTCTGCAATCTCTCCTCTTTGGGGGATAAGAGAAAAAGAAACAGGCACGGCTAGCTGGGGAATTCTGGGAGTTGAAGTCCATAAGTCTTAAAGTTGGCCAAGTTTGGAGACCTCTGGGCTAACGGGTGGGGGCCGGCCCAGGGGGGATTCGGGGTCCATCCCACCCTCCCCCACCCCAGAGCTATGAGAAACTGTCTGGGAAATGTAGCCCAGCCCACCTTGCAGGGTTGTTTTTCGGGGGGGGGGGGGGTGTTAAGAGAAAGCAAGCCTAGGTGGTTTGGTGTAGTCATGGTTTAAGATGCTGGTGTAGAAACCAGAAGGCCGTGAGTTCTGGTCCCGCCTTAGGCATAAAAGCGGCTGGGTGACTTTGAGCCAGTCACTCTGCTCAGTTCAACCCACTTCACAGGGCTGTTGTTGTGGGAAAATAGGAGGAGGAAACATTATGTACCTTCACCACCTTGAGTTAGAAACAACATCTAATAAATAAACCATCTTCAACCCGTATAGAATATCTAGCCAATAACAAATGCAGTTTCTTTTGTGTTTTGCAGATGGGCAGGGTTAGGGAGCTGGGCCACGTTTTCCTTCCGAGAGAAATTCAGGGAATACCTCCACGCCACCTTTGCAAATTCTCAGCTCAGGCTAACTTGGGTAGTTGGCAGCTCAGCCCCCGCCAGGCCACCCGCCTGGAATGTGGTGTATGCCAGGGCTGTTGATAGCCAGTGGGTGAGCTTTCCGGGCAGCTGAAAGTAAGTTAGAGCTCCCTCCGCGGTTGTTTGGCCCTGTCTGTGCACTCACAGAGAGAGAGAGAGAGAGAGGGAGAGAGAGGGAGGGAGGGAGAGAGAGAGAGAGAGGAAAGAAAGAGAGGAGAGAAAAAAAGAGGAGAGAGAGAGAAAGAGAGGAGAGAAAGAGAGAAACAGAGATGGGGAGAAAGAAAAAGAGAAAGAGAGAGAGGAGAGAAAGGAGAGAAAAAGAGAGGGGAAAAAGAGAAGGACAGAGAGGAGAGAAAAAAGAGAGAGAGGAGAGAGAGAAAGACAGAGAGGGGGGTGAAAGAGAGAGAGAAAGAGGAGAGAAAAAGAGGAGAGAAAGACACACACACAGAGGTGGGGCTCCCTGTTTTTGCTTTCTTCTACAAATAGTCCTCAACTTACCTCTACAATTGTATTCAAAATGTATGTGGCTAAGCAAGGTAGTTTTTAAGTGAGTCATGTCCTGTTTTAGGACTTTATTTTGCCGTGGTTGTTAAGAAAATCACACCAGTTGTTAAGTGGATCATGCAGTCCTTAAATGAATCTGGCTTCCCCTGTTGACTGTGCTTGTCGGAAACCGGCTGAGGTGGTCACAAATTGGGATCACATGATCCTCGGACCCTGCGATCCTTGCCAAGCACCCAAAGGGAGATCCTGTGACTCACAGGTGGGATTCAGCCGGTTCTGACCAGTTCTGGAGAACCGGTAGCAGAAGTTTGGAGTAGTTTGAAGAACCAGCAAATCCCGCCTCTGGCTGGAGATTTTGCAGTCTCCTTCCCCTGCCACGCCCACCGAGCCACGCCCACAGAACGGGTAGTAAAAGAATTTGAATCCCACCACTGCTGTGACTGCAAGCGGTTGCAAGCCCAAGGACTGGTGGGGATGTTGCAACAGTCGTAAGTGCGAGGACCGGTCACAAATCACTTTCCCACTATGAATGGTCATTAAATGAACGGTCGCAAGTCGAGAACCAACTGGTCATATTTGGGAGCAGGAGACTCAGAAAAGTGGAATCCTGGAAGGAAAGTTAAAAATACAAAAAAGAAAAGAAAACCCAGAAATGTATCCAGGCTAATGAAGCATTTAATCTGTATAATTGTTTAAGTCTAGCACACAATTTTGCTGGCCTCACTTAATGGCCCATTTTCCTCACTGAATTTGCTTGTCAGAAACCGCCTGAGTAGGTCTCAAATAGCGACCACATCATCCTGGAATCCTGCAACGGTCATAAGGGCGAGGACTGGCTGTAACTCACATTTTCAGCGCTGTTGGTAACTTCCATCCGTCACTAAACAAATAGCTGTAAATTGTGGAATTATTTCCATGCGCCTTTTATATTCTGGATCCATCGCGAAACATCCTGAAAATTTGCAATTTGCCTGCTATTTATGAGCCAGCCGTGTGCGGCAGCAGCCCAAAAAGCCAATGCAGTCCTGGGTTATATCAACAGAGGCACAGAATCAAGATCACGTGAAGCGTTAGTACCGCTTTGTAAAGCCTTAGTAAGGCCACTCCTGGAATACGGCAACCAATTTTGGTCACCTCCCTGCAAAAAAGATGTTGAGCCTTTGGAAAAAGTGCAGAGAAGAGCAGCTAAGGTGGTCAAAGGCCTGGAGGCTAAAACACGTGAAGAACCGGCTGCAGGTTGAGGGTTTGGCTAGTCGACAGAAAAGAAGAATTAGGGGTGACATGATAGCAGGATTCCAGTGTTGGAGGGGCTGCCCCCAAACAGGAGGATCCACCTGTCCTCCAAAGCTCCTGAAGGCAGGAAAAGAAACAACGGATGGAAACTAATCAAGGAGAGAAGCAACTTGGAACTAAGGAGAAATTTTTGGGCAATGAGAACAATTCACCAGTGGAACAACTTGCCACCAGAAGTTGTGGGTGCTTCATCACTGGAGGCTTTTAAGAAGAGACTGGGCATAAACTTGTCTGAACTGGGATAGGGTCTCCTGCTTGAACAGGGAGGGCTGGACTAGAAGATCTCTAACATCCCTTCCAGCTCTATTCTATTCTACATTTGTGCGTATGTCATCAACGAGGAACAATTCCACACAGCTTTCCCGTTATCTGAAGCAGAGCCAAGCGCCAGCCCTGCACACAAACACAGCAAAACACGGCCAGTCCTCGACTTACGAGCACAATCAAGCACCAAAATTCCCTTGGCTGGGCAAGATGGTTTTGTGAAAGGGATTTTGCAGAATTTTACCGCCTTTCTGGTCATTAAGCGAATCACTGCGGGCGTTAAATTAGTTGTTAAGTGAATCCCAGCAGTCATTAAGGCAGTCACAGATCCGGCTTCCCTAGTCAGAAGAAATATCCACCAAAATGGACCCTGGGACACTTCAACGGTCGTAAACATGAATCGGTTATCAAGCGTCCGAATTTGGATCCCGTAACCCTGGGGGTGCTGTAAATGGGGAAAACTTTTTTCAGTGCCATTGTCAACTCATCAAACATTCCTGCGCCTCTTTTAGTAATTGCCATTTTAAAAAGGGGGGCGGGGGGAGGAAGGAAATCTGGAAGAGCAGCGCAGCAGTTTGGAAGCGGAAGTACATTCCGACTCTTCATCTTTAAAAGCTTGTAGCTAAACTACCAGAGCTTTTGCCCGGGAATATGTTTAATTGGAGAACGTGATTGATGACACCCAGCCCGTGAAGGTGCTCAGTTGGAGAATCCGGTTTATGACACACCCAGGGGGGAGGCGGGGAAACGGGGTCACAGGGGACTGTAAATGACGTAGGCCGGAGTTGGCTTCATCCAGGGCAGGGCCAGGATGTCGCCTCTAAGGAATCCTTGGAAGGTTTTTGAAGTTTGGCTCGAGAATCATGATTTCATGAGGGCGATTGCGGGAATGCTGACAGCCGTTGTAACTTCAAACAGACACTAAACGAATGATCGTAAGTCGAGGACTACCATAAAGCACCTCACCCATTAAAATAAATGGCTCATTTTCAGATCTCCTAATTCCTAACTGGGGGAGCCTAAGACTTGCCCAGTAGGCCAAGCTGCAAGCGTCGGCTGTCCAAAGTCCTGGGTCGCATCTCTGAAACAAGCTTTCTGCGCACTGGGTTCTCGAGAGAGATCGGATCAGGTCAGATTCCGGAGTCTGTTTTTTTCTTCGCCCTTTGCCGTAAAACCCTTTTGGGGGAATCCCCTCTGGACCTCCCTCATTTCAGGATTCGGAGGCTCATCTTCCGTTCGATATTCAGCTTTTCCACCGACTGCAAAAAAACAAACAAAAAAAAAACCCCAGAGAGATTTAGGAAAACCTCCTGTGGATGTGAGTACAGGAGGTCCTCGTCTTACGACCACAATTAAGCCCAACATTTTTGCTACTAAATGAGACAGTCGTTAAGTGACAGTCGTTAAGTTGCCCCGTGATACCACCTTTCTTGATATATTTATAAATAAATCCCTGCAGTCGTTAAGTTAGTCACTCGGTCATTAAGTGAATCTGGCTTCCCCATTGACTTTGCAAAAGGGGATTACTTGACCCACAGGGACACTGCGCCCGTCGTAAATATGAACCAGTTGCTGAGCGTCTGAATTTGGATCATGGGATCACAGAGATGCTGTAAAGGTCGTAACTCTGAAGAACAGCCATAAATCACATTTTCCCCAGGGCCGTTGTAACTTTGAATGGTCACTAAACGAACTGTTGTAAGTCAAGGACTACCTGGATTTAGCTTTAGAACAGGGTTGATCACAACCTTGATCACTTTTAAGACTTCTGGACTTCAACTCCCAGAATTCCCCAGTCAGCAAAGCTGGGAACTGAAGTCCGCCGGTCTTAAATGAGGCCCAGGTTGGACAATCCTGCTTTCCGTGCAAATCTTTTCAAAAATAGGTGCAAAGTTTTCCCGCCACCATTCTGGGCGTCCAGTTCGCAGCTAAAAATGAGATTTTCTTGCTTTTTTGCTTTCAATAGTGGACTCTTTCTTCAAATTCTGCAGGAATGCCTGGGACCTTCCAGATGTTGTAATCCCAGCACACATCTGGACAGCACCATGTTGGTCAAAGCCACCCAGTTATTAAGTGAGTTGCAACTGATCTCACCATATCTGTTTTTTGCCACAGTTGTTAAGTGAATCCTGTGGTCATTAAGTGTATCCAGGTTCCCCGGATGGTTTGTGGGAAACCCGTTGGGAAGGTGGCAAACGGTGATCAGGTGACCCCCTGGGATGCGGCAACCATGATAAAGCCAGCACCCCAATTCTGATCATGTGATCGTGGGAACGGTCGTAAGTGCAAGGCAGTGGTGGGATGCAAATATTTTTACTATCGGTTCTGTGGGTGTGGCCAGGTGGGAGTGGCCATGTGAGTGGATGGGAATGGCTTTTTTATTTTGGCAGCACCCCACCCCTGCGCTCTGTTTTTTTGGGCCACCTGGTCTTCAGGGAAGTCTCCTGGACAAAGCAGTAAGACAGCATGTGCGATCCCGACACAGCTGATTGTCAGAACAGCTGATCGTCAAAATAGCTGATCCTTGCAACAGCTGACTGTCATAACAGCTGACCGTCGGAACAGCTGATCATCAAAACAGCTGATTCTTGCAAGAGCTGATTGTCAGAACAGCTGATTGTCGGAAAGCTGATCATCAAAACAGCTGATTCTTGCAAGAGCTGATTGTCAGAACAGCTGATTGTCGGAAAGCTGATCATCAAAACAGCTGATTCTTGCAAGAGCTGATTGTCGTAACAGCTGATCATCAGAACAGCTGATCTTCAGCTAGGGGAAAAAAGAAATATCGGTTCGGCTGAATCGGGTTGAACTGGTAGAATACCACCACTGGTGCAAGGACCTGTCATAAGTCCTTTTTTTCCCCAGTGGTGTAAGTTCAGTCATTAAAGAAACGGTCGTACGCTGAGGACTGTCTGTGGAGTGAAACTGCTGCCCCCCCCCTTCCCCACCTCTCTGTATCCGCGTCCCCCCCACCATAGTCACTATTATTATTTTCGGGTCCAACCGACCTTGGCAAACTCCTCAAAGGAGATGGCGTTGTCTCCATCTCGGTCGGCCTCCTGGATCGTTCGGTCCGTGATATTCTCCAGCTGGTCGTTGGTCACCTGGAGGCCCACCATCATCCTCAGGACCTGGGTGTGAACGGAGACCGCCGAAGCTGAGTGCAGCCAGAGAGAGAGGGGTGTGTGTGTGTGCGTGCAAATCCCCACCTCTGGGTCATCCCCTGACGAAGGCCAAACTTGGATCTTACAGGGAAGGACCGATCCTCCGTTAAGAAGAGAGTCCACTCTTGGCTTCAGGGACAAGTTAAGCCGTTTACTGTTTTCCAAAGGGGTGGATTTGAACTCGGAACTGCCCCAACCTGTTTTTCCCTTGCAAAGGGAGGATAGAGCATGGCTGCTCACCACATGCCCAGCGCATGCTTTTTGCCAGAGGCCTCTGCACAGAGCATCTAGATCAGTGTTTCTCAACCATGGCAACTTGAAAATGGGTGGACTTCAACTCCCAGAATTCCCCCAGCCAGCTTAGCTGGAATAATGTCGTTGGGAGGGACCTTGGAGGCCTTCTAGTCCAACCCCCCACTCATGCAGGAGGAGACCCTATAACATTTCAGACAAGTGATTGGCCAGGCTCTCTTCTAAAAAAAAAAAAACCTCCAATGTTGGAGCATTTACAGCTTCTGGAGGCAAGGAGTTCCACTGGTGAATTGTTCTCACTGTCATGAAATTCCTCCTTAGTTCTGGGTTGCTTCTCTCCTTGGTTAGTTTCCATTCCTTGCTTCTTGTCCTGCCCTCAGGAGCTTTGGAGAATAGATCATCCAGCAATTAATTACCTGCAGCATTTCAGCCCGGGAGATCTTGCCATCCTTATCTTGGTCGTATAACTGAAAAGCAACTTTACCAGAATCGGAAAAAGCAAGAATTAGAATGCAGGATGAGAACCAGAAGATTAAAGAGCTGGAAATATGATGCCAATTCTCACAAGACTGAGTCCTTCCTTCCTTCCTCCCTTCCTTCCTTCCTTCCTTTCCCTTCCTTCCCTCCCTTCCCTTCTT